CCTGCTGCAGAAAATGCATCAGGCCAGGATGCCCTTGCATTTGAAAGCTCCAATAACACAAGGAACTCAAAGTTTCTGAACTCCAGGAGGAAGAAAACACTTCAGAAAACCCAGCACAACAGAATTCTTGGCTTCTCTCTCTGAACTTTGCCTTGGGAAATGCATCTAAGCTACATTCACTGACATAAGCATTGCTTCATACAGTAACAAGCTTTTTTTTTTTTTTTTTTTTTAATACCTCAAAGGTTTAAAATAATTTAGCAAAAAAGTTTTTTTTAAAAAATCTGTTATCTGAAAATATGTTTCTCTGCTAGAAAAGAATGCAGATGCAATGTGCAGGGCAAGAAGAGACACAGGGGTTAGAAATCACAGTTTCTCCAGGGGTATCACAGATGTGAGACTTCACAGAAATGATCAAATGTCGTCTTGATTAACCCAGCTACATTTCTCATTATAAACAGCCTTGCAGGTGTCAGAAGTTAATTAATACAAGTCTCTTGTTGTCATGTAAATATTGATATGTTGTTTCTGACTTTATACTAAAATGAAATCCCTTAACGGCCCCACCATCCACTACTGTCAAATGTAGCTGCATCACTGTTTACATATATGCTGTACACAAGTGACTGGGAAGAACATAAATGTTGTTGCACTAAATGAAGTAAGGAATGTGAACAAAGAGAAAATTAAAATAATTCAGTGATTGCTGGGTTATTAGCAGAGGTAACAGTCAGCAGGATCAAGAAGCCAGTTCACCATGAAGCCTGATGAAAAGCCCTTGAATCATTCCCACTGCATCGTAATGTTTTCTAGCTACTAATTCATGACACCATATAGAGTAACAACCAAATTACTGTAATTACCCTGAAACGTAAGTGGCATATCAATATTGTGTTAAAGACAGATTTTTGTATACGCTTTCATTATTATTCAGAATTACATTTTGAAAGGAAAAATAATATCAACCTGTGGTCTCTACTTACAAGCTAAAGAGCTTATGGTTTGGGATTGTTTTGGTTTGGTTTGTTTTTTCTGTGGGAACATAAGATTAATCTACAAAGGAACGCAGCTTGCATTTTAAATTCTCAGCCTTCGAATTCATTAAAAGAAAGTCCACATCCTCTATTGATGTAAGGTGTCTAGTGAACCTTCATATTGAGGGACAATTTGGCAGCAAATTTCCAATACAGTAGCTGCAGAAACAGTGAAGTGGTTAAACCAGCATTCATATAATCATGCATGTGTAATGCAATACAAACAAATATAAACTATATGTGACTGAGACTATAACAAACTCTGAGGATAGACTGGCCCTTATATTGGAAAGGCTTAACAATGGACTACCAGGATGCAACTCTTATATGAGCTCTATATTTACCAAAAAAAAACCCAAAACAAACAACCCACAGAAAAACACCAAACAAACCAAACAAGATAGTCCTCTTTTCAAATTACATTTTTAATAAAATGAAAAAGTCAGCGAGGAGGGGAACTGTGCTTATGAGTTGGTTGGGGCTTTTTTGCTGTAAATTTCTGTATTAAAACAGAGGGCTTTTTTCTTTCCTTTCTTAATTAAAAACAAAAACATTACTGCTTTTCCTGGAAGTTTTCATGAACAAATACTGAAATGAATTTTGAGTCACTTCTCATGCAATACTGAAACCCAAATCATTCAGAAGGAAAGGGCTTTTCATTCAAACTGCTTAAAAATACACACTTTTTTGCTTATAGTCATAAGTCAAATGTCTAACAAGCAGTAAAAAGAAAAGCTGATTATCTAATATCTATCATATAAAGCATATATTTTCAATAAACCCTAATGAACTTCTGTAACTTGTGACAACCTAATGCCTTATTGAACTAGTATTAGAAACTGGACTAATAATAGTATACAGTTGATTGTTTCCTCTTTCTTTTTTCCTTTCTCCGAAATTCAACTACCACAGCCTTTAGTTCCACCTCTCTCTTTTTAGCTATACTGGGCAGGCATAAACAACAACTTAAAAAGTTTCAGGACAACCAATACTTCTCAAAGTGTTGTAATTTTTTGTTTATATTCCAAAACGTGCAAAGCTACAACAATAATTTTAGTTATTATTCAGTGATAACAGAATTAATGTTGCTGAGTAGTGTATAGCCATGAGTTAACTTTAATTTTATTACTAAACTTCTAGTGGCTCTTTCTGTCTAGGAATAGTATCAGTCAGGCTCATAGCTTATGATACTCAAGTTCCTTCTGAGGGGTCTGAGACCACCAGTGATTTGTGCTCAAGCTATCTGAAGACGTCTACAAACAATTCTTTCTCTTCCCAGAGCTGCCCTTCTCATACCAAACAGAGGGATACTACCACTTTTAAAAATCTTTCCTGAAGGAAACACACAGAATTGCAAACTAGTATCAACCATCAAAACTAACATAGTTTTTAAATGGAGAGGAAAAGGAAGAGATAAACATGTGAGACTAAGCATAACCATGTGGCTTAACAAGTTTCTGAAAAGCACTCAGATGCTAGATTGACGAGAGTCACGTAAGAACCTGAACAGAATAGCTGTTTATGCCAAGTTTTCACATTTAGAACAAGTCTCATAGATTTTCTAAATGTTAACAAAATGTGTCACAGCTGTATTGTTAAAACCTATAACTACATACTCATTAAAAGGCTCAGCAGCACAGAATTTGCCACAAACTATGGGCCTACACCTTGCAGTCCCCAGATAAGGAAAGCACACAGAAGTGTCAAAAAGTTTTACCAGAATCAGGTAACAGTCACAGAATGGTTTGGGTTGGAAGGGACCACTGGAGGCCAAGCCCTCTGCTCAAGCAGGGTCACCTAGAGCAGACTGCTCAGGACCATGTTCCAACCAGTTTTCAGAAGAGACTATTGTGAGTGATCTTCCTCTCTCAGTCGCATTTACGTTTCTAGATATGTCTGTCACCTATTTGGAAATAATACTCCTGAAGCTCCAGGAACATGGAATGATACAGAAGGAGAATGGCTTCCTTCATCTCTTATTTGCAAGATGCTTCATTGCAGGGGAGAGGAAGTCTGTAGGAGCAGCTCTAAGACTTTTTTTCTTTCCGTTTTCTGTTCCACGTCTGTCAGGTCCAAGCTACCAGCTGGTGACTGCTCTGTAGCTCCCTAGTTGCCTTTTTTGCCTGCTGCTGTGTTCAGACAAGCAGATACATCACAACCTAATGGCGTTTTTTTTTAAATTCTATTACTGATAATTAGTTGATAGCAAAATGTTGCCCTTCTGCATACAAAGCCCTTTGAAACTGAAAAATAAAGATGACAACTGTAAATCATTTACATGACACTTCTGTTCTACAAACAGGTGACATATTCACATTACCCGCTTTTATCGTTTGCAGTAAGGTGGCTTGTAGATGCATTGTTTTATCACACCCAACATAAAAACAGAATAAAGAGACACTCTCTGATCTCCCAAAATCTTGTAACCTAGAAGACCGCAAACAATAAGCCAAGAGAGCAGAAGCTGAACCACAAGGAAATAAGACAAGTCAATGGGACAACATAACTGCCACAGTTAATCTGCTGCTTAGCTACTGACAGACATTAGAACCAGATTTCAAAATGAAGTCTTCAATTAATAGCACAACTGTAGCTAACTGATAGAAAATATACCTGATGCTTTAGCTTTCCAAAACTTGAAACCCTGGTTTACCCCATACCCGATATAGACCAGCTCCCCACAAACAACAATCACTTCTGAGTCAGAGACCAGGGCTATCAAAATTTCTCTCCTGAATTAAAAACCACCAGGCAGTTATCTCCAAAACAGATACATTAATTTGTGTTTTCTTGCTAGTAAATCAATATCCTCTTCTAACCTTTTGAGAAACCCACTCAGAAGTTAGAAATAAATGCACCCTGAATCTAGCTAGCATTTTAGAACATAGATACCTTCTTGAATGCTTGGCTTCAGTGGTATTTTGAGTACATCTTCAGGATGTGGTTTACAGAGTCCATGGAAAGGCCCTAAGTCAAAACACTCTTGAAACAAGGCAACATTTACTTGAGAACATAAGCTCATGAATCCTACTGCAGTGTCACCATCCTGAAATACAAAAGCAATGTCACCACATGTAAAAGCTGAGCATGTGATTTTAGGTCAGGACAAAAAAAATGTCTGAAACATGAAAGTTACAGTGTTCTATCTCTGGCTGTGCATAAGAGAAAAGTATAAAGGAACCATTTCAGCAAAAGTTAAAGATCCTTTTTTTTTTTCCCTTGTAACGTGTGTATGAGGACCTCTATATTAGATGTTTTTTGTTAGCTATGACTTGTGAGAGCATTAGGAATATATATATATATGCACCAAATAATGACCTATTGTTTCAATAAAACATTTATTACAGTAAATAAAAACCATATACCTTTTAACTACATACCTCCAAAAAGGTATAATTTTTCTTTAACTTAAAGTGCAGCTAAAGCAAAATCTGGATTTAGCTAGCCATAATGGTTGACTAATTACTGGACACTGCTTTGCAAATAAAATTGTGCTCAAACTCAGAAGTATATAAACAGTATCTAATACAGTATATGGTACGTATTATTTGCAGCAATTATAAGTGCCAAATATTTTAAAGTTCTGAAAAAAATCTAAGAACTAGTCTTTAAAAAAAAAAAACAACAAACCAACGTCCTGGCAAGGATGAAAAAGACAAGATCCCTGCAATGCTGAAATGGCACATTGCTCTGTATGTTTGACTACAATGCAAGTTCCCAAAATGTTGCAGTCTTCAGAAAGAAACATGTTCTGAAAAATGAGAACTGGCATGTTGGAGGCTTTTTGGCTTTAAGCTAAGACAAGTCTAGAAGACGGAAGCTCTTCAATTTTTAGTACTATATGCAACTTTCTGGTGAAACACATAATAAAAAATTTTTTTTTCCTTAATGCACATAATGAAAGCCTCCTTTACAAACATAATGAAAACTCAATGGCTGGATTTGTATAGCTGTTTTATCAGGCCATCAGTACTTCAATAAAAATAAAAAAAATATGAAGTTTAATTCCCCCCCCCTCCCCAAACAACAAGTGATTGTTTGTTTGCCTTGTTTGCGTAACCGAACAAAAGCTGGGTCGCTGCAGTTGTCTGGCTGCTATGTAATTTTAGGCCCAAGGCTCAGCAGAGGCTGATTAACCAATCCATCTACCATATGTGCAAAAAGAGGTTGCCAGCTTCATTCTCTGCAGGGAAAATTGGCATCTATCTTGGTTCGCGTGGAGGTGTCTTTCCAATCTGCGGCAGCAGCGGCAACTATAAACTATGAGGGCCTGAAACACCTTTTGCTGGTATCATATTGAGCTATAAATGTACAATTGAAATGTATTATTTATGAAGATAGCCGTTTGTAATGTGCTATTACACTAATGGTTTATTGTTTCCCATTTGGCTTCCAGTGGTAGTGATTACATATTAAGGCTTTATAAAATCGTTTGCTATAGAAAGCAGACTTCTGGAATTAAGTAGGTTATGTTGCCTATCAGCTTACAATACCATGCACAATTA